CTTTCTTTCTTTTTCTTTTTCTTTTCCTTCCTTCCTTCCTCCTTTTTTAAATTGAAATGCAGTTGATTTACAATGTTGTGTTGCCTTCTGGTGTACAGCATAGTGATTCAGTTCTACGTATATATACTATTTTTCATTATAGGTTAATACAAGCTATTGCATGTATTTCCCTGTGCTGTACAGTAGGACCTTGTTGTTTATCAGGAATTTCTTTTTTATTGACTAAAGCCTCTTCTTTTATGCTTACATCAAAGCTGTACCATGTTTTCAGGAGATCATTTTAGCCACACAGGAGCCCTGCTAAAGCCAACACTGCTAATTTGTAATCGAATGCTATATACAGTGACCTTCAAAAATAATTGCACATATTTTAAAATTCCCACTCTGATCTCTGCAAAAGAGAGTTCTCTGCTTTTGAAGGCATCAGATCTCTCCAGAATCCTCCCATTTGAAAAAAAAATTACCATTTGACATTTTTGTTGTCTCCTTAGAACCTTACCTATGCTTTCTTCACTTTGCTAATTATAAAAAGGAAGATGCTTTACATAAATCCTGGATTTGCCAAAGTTACAAATATATATTCTGTTATTTAACACTGAGAATTGACATTCTGCAATCAGACCAAGTGAAGTCTGAATTTTAATGAGGACGTGGCATTCCACCTTAGAATTAATCAGTTACTTCCAAACCAGGGTCTTGAGAACTCTTTGTCTTTGGTATGGAAAAATGGAGTGGTTGGTTAGAAACATTAAGTCCTTAAAATGAGGATCCCCTAGTAAACGTTTCCTATCTCTTCTTCTTTCAAGGAGACCGCTGTGTACAGGATGGATCGGAGACACAGAGGGCACTGTGTTGTTGTCAACAACCACAGCTTCACCTCACTGTCAGAAAGACCAGGGACCAACAAAGATGCTGGTAGGAAAGTCTGCAAGTGTATGAAATGCAAGTTAGGGGTCTTAAAATCATTTTTTTATCTTCACATTTTCTTTCTGTAGTTTTTCTCTTCCATGTAAATACAAGGATATCATAATGTCTTAGTCCATCTGATGGTTTCTAATACCATAAACTAGATGGCTCATAAACAAGACACATTTCTTTCTCACAGTTCTGGAGGCTGGAAAGTCCAAAATCAAGGCTCTGGCATTTTGGTGTCTGGTGAGAGCCTGCTCCCTAGATGGCTGTCTTCTCTCTGTAACCTCGCTCGGTGGCGGGGCCAGAGAGCCACATGAGGTCTCTTTCTGGGCTCCACCCTCATGACCTCAGCACCTCCCAAAGGCTCACTTCCTAATATCCTCACTTTGGAGGTTAAGATTCAACATATGAATTTTATGGGGGACACAAACATTCAGACCAGAGCACCTGGATGTCACCAACCTGCTTAAAGAGTGACAAGCATCCCTGACCATTTATGGTTTGAGAGAGAGCACCTGGGTTAGTGTGAGAAAACCTGGGTTTGAGTTCTGCCTCCACCTCTAACCAGGTCTGTGGGAGAGGCCCGTGGAGAGGCCCGGGGCCTCAGCTGCCTTGTCTGTGAGACAGGATCAAACTCTGGCCTCTGCTGACTCTTGGGATCATTGTGATAGTGCTGTCGGTCCATGAAAAGGCAGGTTAACTGTAAAAATTTACTGCTATGGGAGTTAAAAAAAAGAAACCCAAAGCGTCAGGCTATTTGCTATGCAATTTTTATAAAATTAACATTGTTTCACCCCTTTGTTTTATTTTGTTTCTCATCATTTCACTATTTCCTCTTTCTCTCCTTTTTTTTAAGAGTGTCTGGAGCGCGTGTTTCAGTGGCTCGGGTTCAGTGTACAAGTGTATGTCAACGTGACTAAAAGTCGCCTAGAGGAGGTTCTGCGGGAATATAAGAGTCATCCAGGCCATGCTGATGGAGACTGCTTTGTGTTCTGTGTTCTGACCCACGGGAAATTTGGAGCTGTCTACTCTTCTGATGGGGACCTCATTCCCATTCGGGAGATCATGTCTTACTTCACAGCCCAGCAGTGCCCCGGCCTGGCTCACAAACCCAAGCTCTTTTTCATCCAAGCCTGTCAAGGTGAAGAGATACAACCCTCCGTATCCATTGAGGCAGATGCTATAAATCCTGAGCACGTGACCCATTCCCTCCAGGACAGCATTCCTGTTGAGGCGGATTTCCTTCTTGGCCTGGCCACTGTCCCCGGCTATGTATCTTTTCGGCATGTAGAGGAAGGTAGCTGGTACATCCAATCTCTGTATAATCATCTGAAGGAGTTGGTCCCAAGGTGAGAGTTCTGAGTTGTTCCATCCACCTACCTGTTCCTCCATCTATCCACCCACCCATGCATCCATCCATGCATGCATGCATCCATCCATCCATCCATCCATCCAACAAACCTGTTTTGAGCACCAGCAAGGAAGATACAGAATAAAAAAAGATACAGTGCCTGCCCTCAAGCTGCTCACACTCTAGAGGGATAGACAAGTTGACGAGGAAGATCATCCCCAGTGGTAAATATACATTGTAAAGCACAGGTGTTACGGGAACGTATAGAACCAGCACCTCACCCAGATTTGGAGCATCAGGGGAGGTGTCGAGATGACAAGTGGTGGTCAGTGGAATATGGGGGCCAGTGTTCTAAGTGCTTTACGTTAATTCCCTCATCTAGTTATTATGGCAGCCCTTCAAACCGATACCATTTTAGAGCTGAGAAAACAGGCATAGTGAAGTAAGTAACCTGCCCGGGCCCACATAATCAGTAAGTGGTGAAAGCATGATTCAAACTTGAGTTCTGTCTCCAGACCCTATGCTTTACTTCCAGTGATAATGTTTTGCCCACTCTTGGAACATTCTAGTAAATGGTACACATCCCACACCCCCTGGCTCAAATGCCACCTCCTCTTTGGAGCCTTCTCGTGTCCTCACAGCCAGACATGCTGTCTTTCTCCTCGGAACTTGCAGTGGAAACTTGACCTTCTTTTCATATGGTGTTGGTTGCATTCTGCCTTGTGTTATGGAGTTTATCCATATGCCAACCTTGTTATGTTTCATGTCTGCATTCTAAGGGTTTAAGTTCAGGAGTTGTGTCATGTTTATCTTCGCATCCCTCCCCAAACCAAAATAGAGAGGGCATTACTAATGGTAGGCTCTCTCTCTATTTCTATCATCTTCTGTCTGTTGTATCTCTATCTACCTATCTATCCATCCATCCACCAGCTTGAAGGAAGAACATGGAAAAATAATCAGATGCAAAATGCCTTTGTGGATGAAGTACATTAAAATATAAGGTGTGATTATTATAATATCCTTAAATACTGAATATAGAATTGAAAAATTTTATATCATTTGGCATTTCATTTTCAATTTCAGAAAAAAAATATTTTTTTATATTTGGCAAGATTTGAGTTAGAATCTTGGCATGTTAGACTGGTAAGAAGCCATATGTTTTAGGGTCTTTTTTCTAAGACCTGGTAAGTGATTTCTGTCTCCCAGTTGAAAGTATTTTTTTCTTCTCTGCCTGCAGACAGGAAGATATCTTATCCATTCTCACCGCTGTCAACGATGATGTGAGTCGACAAGTGGACAAACGCGGAAAAAAAAACAGATGCCTCAGCCTGCTTTCACACTACGTAAGAAAGTCATATTCCCCGTCCCACAGGAAGAACTTTTATTATAGTGGAATTCTGATCAACTTGTAGATGTGAAAAGACCCTTTGGCCATCGTTTCCAACCTCCCACCCCTCATAGAAACCAGTGACAGATGGTGAGCTGGCCTCCGCCTGTCATTCTAGTAATAGGAAATGCCCTAAGTTCTGATGCAACAAATTCTGGGGTTTTTTTTTCCCCTTTTTGATAAGTCTAACTGTTAGAAAAAATTTTTCTTATTGAAGACTTGGATTGTTGTCTTGAATTTAGTTGTGCACCCTGAGAAAAAAGCAATCAGCCTTGGTTTGTGCATTTGTGAAGTAAAAGGTGGGACCTGGTATATTTTAAGGTTCCTTTTGTCTCAGAACCACTATTCGTGGCCTTGACTGAGCCTAGATTCCCCATTGTTATACTTCTGTATCCCCTCTGCGTGGCCTTGTTTTGGACACTGGGTGATGATGAGGTCATGGTTTGCTGACCCCCTCTCTGCTCTCCCCCAAAATTTGGTCTATGCTGCACCCATTCCTCGCTTCAGTGTAAGGAAGGCATTCCTGTAGGAGCTGTTTCTCTTGGGCTGGGGAGGGGGTTGGCTCTAGGAAGACGACAACTCCGTGTGAAGAGAGACACATTCAGCTACTCTGGGAGCAGAAACTCTACAACCTTGTGTTAAATTAATTCCACGTTGGTCAGAACTTTTCAAATGCTGATGACAGAACACCTACCTCGAACCAACGAAAGCAAAGAAGAAAACTGATTGCCTCTTTCACCTGAAAACACATAACAGGAAGACTGGCTTCAGATGAGGCTTGAATCAGGACTAAATCTGCAGCACATCATCTCTCTCAGCCAGAATCCTCAGGGTTGGCAGCTGACTGTAGTCAATAGCCCCCACCTTGTCTCTGACACACTCTGCTCCTCTGGACCAAAGTGATGGGGAGAGAGGCTGCCTCAGGGACTGAGTTGTTCACAGGACTTATTGCTCTCTCTTTAGCCAGAGGAGTGTCTTGTGGAGGGGGTGGTTCTGTATGGAAGCCTTGATATTTTTAAAATTACGGTTTTGAACACATTTGTGTACTAAACTTTTTGCTTAAATTTCAAGAGGGATTTTGAATTCTTAGAAGGAATTAAATGTTAATTCCTGGAAGGAGGGAGACTGAAAGTCCTGTGGGTCAGGACTTCATTTACACACGAAGAAGCTGAAGCCCAGGGAGACAGACTGATTTGCTATAGCCGCCAGCCAGTTATGCCAGGATTTTATTTCCAACTTAAATGAACTAGAATGTCACGGGTCATAACAGGACTTTACTAATGTTTCCTGGTTATGCAGGTTGCTCATGAAAGATGTCAGAGAATGAAGAAAAATAACTCAGTGGTGCTTGATTTGAGAATTATTTCTGTGGAGGTCACATTAATGCCTGGCAAATTTGCAGTGAGAAATATTCATAAGAACCTTGTTATAATGTAGCAAGTAATTATGTTGATTTGAATGTAAGTTGACCAAGGAAACTAATATATATGTAGAGATGATTTTCCAAAACCATTGTTCATACATGTCAAAGCTAACAAACAGCTTGGTGGTTACTGTCTTTGTCCAGTTGGATATACACAGCTTTTGGACATTTAATAGTCCTTTGTAAGTGATGGATGGTCTGATACAAAGGAAAGAGCAAAGGATCTGGAGAGAGAAGCCTTGGTTTTCTGTTGTACGCTGTGACTCCCTTGCTCTGAGGCACTTTATCAAGCTAGTTTTTTAAGCCTTATCTATGAAGAGGAAAAGTATTATCTGTTGGGAGGATTAAGGTTGAAATCCAGTTGTGATGCGGTGTGTGTAAGGCCTTTGGGTGGCAAGCCTTCTGGTAGTAACCTCAGTGGAAACAGCAGAGCTCGTATTCCTTTGCCCCTAATTCCAGCTGACTTTTACCCTCAAATCAACACTAGCAACACCCACCGACATGCTCTGAGTGAGGAACAAGACCAGCTCTGGGCTCTGAGTCCAGCTGGACAAGGCACCGCTGATGATGGACTGTCCTGCCCCAGAAACCTGTGGGACTTGTGCTCGGCCTCTGGTCCCTGGCCTCTGGTCTATTTTATATTTCTGTTCCACTGGACCTTAGTGCTTGTGCAAAGCTAAACTCCAGAATCAGGAAACTTTCTATGAGCTTTCTTTTCAGAAGCCCCTAGCAAACACTTGAGAAGTCACTAGAGATCTATGTCTGTGAATCATCTGTACAGATGCCAGGAGCGTGGTCATTCTTCGCTCATTTTTTCTAAATGGAGCATGTACACACTTGTCTCTTGTCTGTACGTATGTGTATGTGTGTGTGTGTGTGTGTGTGTGTGAATTTAGAGTCCAGAGACAACAGCAGGTGATTTGGTCACAGCTACTTGGTAGTGGCGACAACCATTGTCTACCTACCTGGATATTTATGATGAAAACAGGCAAACTGAGTAAGTTTCTGTATAGTTTGCCTAGTTTTGCTCAACCTACAAGAGCTGTAGTTAATTCTTTCTTTCTTTTCCCTTCTTTCTCTCTCAGAAGTTTGGCTTCTACCAAATAAGATAAAGGACATGAAAATTCTTGTTACAGCATTACGCAAGTGTTAGTTATTTAATAACAATACTGCCGGTGTGCAACATTGTCAGTACTAGTCACTACAGCATCCTACTGGGCTCTGCTTCAGGGATTCACCGTGGTGGGTGGCCAGTTTGATATCGTGGCATTTCCCTTAGCAATACATTATATCCCGCCAGTGCTCAGGTAATTTAAACACATAAGCAACTTCATATTTAAGCACTGCCACATAACTTCTGTGCTCACATCCTGGTACCCATAGAAAGCAATGAACCTTACACTGCATTTTTAAATGTAGCATGGATTAGGGTCCCTAGCTGGGGTCCCCAGATTTACTGTCAGGTGCCAGTGGTTAATCTGTTGGAAACCTTTCTCCCATCCATCCTCTTACCCCACGACAGACTCCTGCTCTGCCATCCCTCCCCTCCGCTTAACTCTTCCAGCAGAGGGAACTCATACGAACGCCGAGTCGCGGATTCGGGAGACCCTGTGGTCCAGCCTTCTGAGTGGAGGATTTGCAATCCTGCCACCTGGTTTCACTTGTGGACGGCTTTCATTTTTTCTCTGCTGGACTTGAATTGACCCCCTTAGAATGTCCTTAAACCACTGGTTCTCATTCTCAACTCGAGCCACACCAAACAAGTGTAACGGTCTCCTGGTGAGATACATGCTGCACGTGACAAGCATTTTTGGTTTTTTTTTTTAACTTTTTTTTTTCTGGTAGGGTCTGGGTCTGGTCAAAACTCTACAGTTTGCTCTTAAGGTTGTGGTAAGAATATAGAGACACATTTGTATCTTTAAACAGAAACTGCATTCTGAAAGTAGATCTCTTAAAAAAAGCACTGAAGGGAATTTCCTGTTTAAAAGAAAGAGCCATTTGTCAATACAAACAACTGTCCCTTAATGTAAGTTTTGCACATATAAAATTTTAAAAGAGAGTTTTTCTATTTAAAATGCTAAATTGTATTAAATTTTACTTTTTGAATAGGGTTTATCTTTACATTGTTTGAAGATAAGAAAATATGGACGGGTGTTCAAGAAAAGTCTTGGCCCCATTTCTGTCCACTGTATGCCCAGTTCTCTCTCCTCCTCATTCCATAGATAATTCCAGGGTTTCTTAGTGCAAATGCAACAAATACAAATATATGTGCATTTTAAAATAGGTTATTCTTGATACAGAGTACATACACTGTGAAACTCACATCTCATTTGGTCTTACTTTGAATGATTCTGTGAGATGCCTGGAAATACTGGTACAATTCTAGAACAGGAATAACTTTATGAGCTTTGTGGACTGAGCACTTGTAAATAGTAGTAATTGTGTTACCAATAAATAGAGATATTTTTCCTTTTTACTTTTGAGTAATATCTTTGATTTTACTTAATAACTTATTTTCTCCTTACATGGTGATATATGCACATTGTGAAATATTTGGGAAATACAAGAACACACAAAGAAGAAGAGTTAACTCATTTATGATTCCATTTTGGCGTACACTTCCCCATGATTTCAATCTGCATTTGTCCCTGATCTTCCCCACCCTTTAAACGAGCCTAACCTCCATGCCCCTCAATCACAAATTCAGTCAACTTTGTCTTTACCGATATCCGTACCTCTGCCCAAATCTCTCTTACAGCCACCTCCTACCATTCCATCACATTCCCTCTAGGACCCTCCCTTCAGCCCTCTTCAGTGCCATTAGGGCCTCTAGTCAGTCCATTGACCTTATCTGCCATCTTTCCAATGTCAACACCGCCCCTCACTCCCTCTCTCCACCTCTACCCAGCTGGAGTCATGTCATCACTAAACTCCCTCTGTCACATCCACCCTCAACACCCTTTCCTTTCGCTCAATCCTACTCATGGGGCAGAATCCCAACTCTGGTTAATCCCATGTCCGCTCACTCTACGTGTGTACTGGAATTCTCGATTGTGGCTGGTGAACAAACTCAACATTGCAGACGGGTCTCACTGAAAATTGATGACCACAAACCTCAAACAGGCTCTCCGTGTTTCCTGGAAATCTTGGGACATTTCCCTAGTTCTGTCACACTTTTGCTTTCTCAGACTATTTTATATGATCTTTGGTTTGCTCAGACCTCTGTCATCCTCTAGTCCCCTCACTCTCAGTTGAAGGTCTTACTCATTTCGATAAGGGAAGTGATCAGAAAAGACTCCACCTTCCACCGCCAAGTCTCCCCGCCCACACGCACCTTAACCCTCACTTGCTGATTGCTCTCCTGTCAACAATGGGGGAGCTGCCTGGGCTTCTCCGGGGAGTCAGTGCCTCCTGTGGCGCAGGGACCATGCCATCCTGCTTACTCACCTCTGCAGCCCTCCCTCCTGTCTCCTTCCTGCTCTGTTGTCCTTCCCCTGTCTCCCAGAGCATTCCCCTCAATGCAAAACAGGCTGTACTTTCTCCTTCCTTCAATACAAAACAAAACAAAACAAAACTGAACCCCCTAAAGCTCATCTTCTGTCAGGTGCTCAGAAGCGCCTCTGAAGGGAGGATTCCTGTGCTGGGGTTTTGTTCCAGAAGTGCTGTTGGGACTGGGAAGCAGGGCAGGGCAGGGGCGGAGGCAGGCAAGGCTGAAGTCACCCATGTTCTCTCAGCCTGGCCTGGCTGAGCGAAAATCCTCAGAGTCCCACTCTACCAGATGTCAGGCAGCCTGTGAGGCTTTTGTTTGTGTGTGTGTAGAGGGGGAGATAATTAGATTTATTTTTAGAGGAGGTACTGGGGATAGGAACCCAGGACCTCATGCATGCTAAGCATGCACTCTACCACTGAGCTATACCCTCCCCCCTCTGTTAGGCTTTCATTGTCCCTCAGTCCTCTGTCCTTGGCTAAGAGCTGGCCCAGGTGGGGGAACTTAAACTTCCCCTAGTCTGAGGCCAGTCCCTAAAAAAGCCCCCCACACAAAGGTGTGAGCCTTTAGAAGCAAAATCCCCTCCAAGCAGGCAAGCTGGCGGGGGTGGAGTGGGGAAGGGGTGGGGCAGAGAGGGGGTGGAGTGGGGTAGGGAGTAGAGGGGATTGAAAAGGATCAGCAGAGATCTGGCAGGAACACTGACAGCATCCTCTAGTCCCTCTGGACCCCACATCCCATCTCCTCTTTCCATCCTTAGGCCTGTCCAGCATTGGCGTGGCCTAGGGCAACAGTAAAATCTGAGGCCCATAAACCACAGGTACGAATATAAATATACAACCAACTGCTCTCCTCTCCTACTGCCTCTTTGGAATGACTTGAGAGGCCAGGTTAGAATTTATTATTTCTGTGGTGGGCAGAGTGTCTGCTCCTGGTCCACAGTCGGCCCCTTTCTCTGCCCACCTCCTGCTCCTTCCAGATGACCCGAAGCACTAATAGGTGCAAAAGAACATGAAAAATGTCACACAGTCAGATCAGTGTACCCTTAATTAAGTGCAGAATTTTGTGGAAGAATTTTCTACACTTTCAAACTAAAAGATTAGAGCTATTTCTTAAGAAGTCCTACCTTTTCTTTACTAACCCACTATAGATCGATCATTTGTGAATTTACCTAAGCAGAAACACTCTCCTCTTGATTATTTTAAAACTTGAAAAACAACATTGGAAAGCTAAAGAGCGAATCACAAGCACATGCTAAGTGCCATACATATAACTGACAAGCAATCTAGAAACACATAAAGCCAGTACCTGCTGCAGTTTTGGGGGTGGTTATTTCTGCGGTGGTGGTATAATTAGCATGGCCAAGGCAGAGATAAGGAGCATTGACTCACTCTTTATTGCCCCGAGCCACCCCTACTGCAAAATAGCCAGCCTGATACCTAGTCTGGAACAGGATGCCTGCAGATGAGAAACTCCCTTGTGACGCCTCTGAGCGCCCCAAGCCTGTTTTGATAAATTAGCATAAATCAAGGGGTTCAAATGCAGACCCAGCCAGCCCTTTTCATCTGTGCCCCCGACACTTCACTGCTGCTGACATCCCTCCATTTCCAAAATGCACAACCGGAAGCTCAGTACTAGATCTGATCATCCTATGTTGCTGCTTATTTCACCCTTTGAAAGACTTCTCATCACCCCTACCCCTTCCTGACTCATGCCTCCCGACTCCTCAGCTCTGGCCACCCTGCAGGGAGACAGTGAGTTTTGGCCGGGGGCTTCTTGCTGTGGCCAGATTAGCAACTCCAGCACTTGGGTCTAGCCACTTGCTGAGGCTGAAAATGACCACTCGGTGAGAGTGACAGAGAGATGTTACTGTTCTCATGTTCCAGATCAGAAGATCAAGGCTCAGAAAAGCTAAGCAATGAACATGGTCACACTGCTAGAAAGTGGGAAGGATCAGCGTTGAATTCTATCTGGTGACTTCCAAGTTCCTGACCTTCCTGTCTGCACTACACCGCTCGAGTGGAAATAACCCCAGACGGAGGGCAGGCCTACACAGGGTAACACACCCCATCCTTGTTCCTGGAGGTGGGGGCCTGGCCTCTTCGCCTGAATTATCACCCTGAAATGTCCAGGACAAACCAATTTTATCAACAGTTTCAGGCCTGTGAGAAACGGACTTGGCCCAGGTTAAAGGTTGTGACAGAATTTGAAAATAGGCAGTTTTATTACTTACAAGAAACGTGATTCATTCTGCCAGTAATTGGAAGCACAGCTGTCTGTGGAAGAGGTAGGCTATTTCAACTTCCTCCTCAAGCTCTGCTCTGGATCCTTAGGTCTGGGAGCCCTGAGGGTGATAAATCCATTCAGCCAGGCTCTCCCACCCCCTTTAATTAAAAAAATTGGGGGGAGGGTGGCGGTAATTAGATTTATTTATATTTATTTATTTTTAATGGAGGTACTGGGGATTGAATCCAGGACCTGGTGCATGCTGAGCACACACTCTACCACTGAGCTATACCCTCCATCTTTGTGTTCACTGGGAAGTTATAGTTTCTGGGAAGAGTCATTCAGCGGCAGGAAGAGAACACATGTGGGGACACTGAAGAGGCCCCCAGATCTCCCAAGGCTGGGAATCAGAACTGGCTGAAGAAGATGTGGCTGTGCCCACTGACCATTGAGAAGTTCCCTGGGCGGGGTCAGGGGCCAGAGCTTGTCTGCAGTCGGCAAGCGGGGCTGGTGAGCAGAAGGCTGCCCACGGAGGGGCCAGCACAGCTCTCAGGGTGGGCACGAGTCAGGTGCTGGCAGCTGGGCCTGACCACCAGGAAGAGGAGCAGCGCAGCCAGGAAGTCTCTCCCGCGGCTCTCGCTTGCTCTGTCCCTCCAGCGCCCTCTACCGACAAAGCCTAAGATTGAGCCAGCTGGCAAAGGAGGTGTATTACAGGGTGTAGCTTCGGCATCGCGGAGCTGGACTCAAGAGAGTGGACTGGAACTGAGAAGCAATGCATTGGTTGATCCTGGCGCAATATAAACCCTGCTTTTGTAAACAAGATGGTGTATGTGACAAAGTATGTGCAGAGATGCTATAATAATATTTGTTCACACTTTATTTACTCTGCATGGCAAGAGCTATTCTAAATATTTTGCAAATATTTGGTTTTCATACTAACCCTCAAAGGCAGCTGTTAATGCCTATACTCTGTGAATGAGGAAACTGAAGCCCCCTTCTGTTAAATAACGTGCCCCAGGTCACACAGGCTAGCAAGTGGCCCAGGAAGAACCACGATGGCTTTATAAGCACAGAAGACTGAAAGAATCAAACTGTTAACAGTGGAGACCTCTTAAGGCAGCACTGAAAAGGCCATAGGAGAGGTTTTCACTTTTTTCTCAGTGCTTTAAATAAATACATACAGTGATTTAAAAAAAAATAGTGCTTTCTCTTTTGTTTTTGTATCTGTAAGTGGGGTTTTTTTTTTTTTTGGAGTGGGGGGGAGTTGTATTTTTCTATTAAGTAACTAGAATCATTAATAAATGACAACTTCCCCTGCCAGGCGATCCGGGAGAACGGCAGGCAGCGGGGGAGGGCCTTTCCGCAGGGAGCGGCAGAGGCCCCATCAAAGGTTGAGAGAAGGCTGAGTCACACGCCTGAGCACTGGTTTCTGGCTCACTTAGTGTGAGTCTAATCCGTAACTGGTTATCCATGCCGAGCTTCCTGCCCGCCCTCCCCACCCCCAGTAGCTTCTGAGAGAAGGTGGCTAGTGGCTGCCTGAGGGAATTAGTATGCATGGAGCACTTGCTCTCCGTAAGATAATATACATAAGTACCCACCACGCTTCAGCATTAATTTACTCATTCCCTTGGCAACTTTATTAAGCAGTCATTTTTAATCCCTGTTTCCCAGATGGAAAGACCGAGGCTCAGGGAAGCAAGGGAAGGTACCTAGATCCTCAGCGAGAGGTCGAGCTGAATGCAGATGTAACTAATCCCAAAGTCCAA